TCTTGAGTTTAGACCTTTAAAAATAGACCTGTCCAATAATTTTCAGCCGGTGTCCTGCAGATCTGTCTGTTTCAAGCAAAAGCATTAACAATTCCTCCTACTCTTTCACTCTTTCAGGTCTCCAACAAAGGTGAGATGCACTTTCAAAACAGTCAATATTTTTGATGAGTTCTTCCAGACTGATGCACAGCTGAAATGGGGCTTCTCTGTCTATCTTCCAGGGGTCTCCGACAAACAATGTGTCTCCGACATCGACCCCGGCCAAATCTTCAAACGCTGTTCCCACACTGCAGCCTCCTCCTGGGGAGAGCGCTGCCGCTGCTGCTGCTCCAGAGCCGGCTGAAGAGTGAGTGTTTGTTTGCTGTAAAGTCTCTTTGACTTCCTCTCTTTTCTCTGCCTCTTTGATTCGGAAAATCTCTTGACAATAAATTGTCCTTGAGGCCACTTAGTACCATGCTTAAGAGCTTATTTTGCAAAAGTAGATAATGTAATTGTTATCACTTTCCTGACTTTTCCTCTTGTGCCATCCTCATGTCAAAATTTTACTTTGTCCTATATTTTCTTTCATGGCCAAATACCTGAAAAGCTCACAGCATCAGCCTCAGCTATAGTTAATGTTTAAGTGCTTATTAACATACTAAACCAAGATGCCTAGACCTTTCCGCAACCGGGAGCTCACCTACTGCAGAGGATGATGAATTGAATGTCGTTCTCTCTCTGTTTCTGTCTCATCTTTCAGTTCCTTGTTGGACCTGGATCCACTGTCCTCCTCGGGGCCCTCAGCACCATCAGCTGCACCCACGTCTTGGGGAGGTAAGTCTCCGTCCTTCCTGTCAAAGCAGCGGCTGGTTTCCAAATCCACAATGTCTTAAGCCAGTACTGTGAATGGAAGACAAATGATCTATTTTCTCTCAGTGATCATCTTTTCAGTTTAGGAGAGTAAACTAATTCAATCTATAGGAACTGTCATAATTTAGGCTTGAACTAACATGTCTTTTTCCCCATTTCCTCGTTTTATGCTACAACAGATCTCCTTGGATCAGGTGAGTGTCACTCCACTCTTCACTTCACCTCCAAGCTCTTATTTAAACTAATGTAATCTTAAATCATCTTCCTCAGCGTCACTGACTTTCTTTCTGAACAAACTCTAATCTGAAATTGAGGTGAATGTCAGTGTTTTAATCCAAATTAAACTTAAAGATAGACTATAATGTACAAATGTCACATGGTTACCACCCTGTTTGTCTCCTCAAGCTGTTCTCTTTAGTCTGAGTAGTCTCTTTGTTTCTCTCTGCCTTCTCTCTCCCTTCCCTCCACATACTCCATTGTCTGTTTTTGGTTTTCAACGGGGGCCATTTTGGTTGGTTGTCTTTTATTTGTTGGTTATGACTGGATGGTGTTCAATAATTTTTACAACTTTAATTTGGTTAAATTTGGATTTTACTTTGGTCTGTCAATTCTAAATTTGATTAACTGGGCTTGATTTGAATTTTGTTTTGGTTTTTGTTCACTGTTGTAACGGTGACTCAACTGGTTATTTTGGTTGCTCTTTTGGGGTTTATTTTGGTACCTTTCTTTGGGGATTACGAACACCCCGTTGGTGCTCGCAGAAATGGGCGATTCCTTGCTATCTGAACCCACCCTCACGGCAGAGCCCACCCCCTCCTCTGCAGCAGCAACACCCACTCCTGCAGCGGCAGAACCCGGAGTCTCTCTAGCTCCTCCCACTAGCACAGCAGCCGCCACCTCCCCTGGCGCGGCCAATATGGATCTGTTGGGAGGTCAGTGGGCTTCCAGAAAATTCTCTACGAAAGAATCACTCTGAGAAGCTCAACCCTAAAACCATCACACAATATGATAACACAAAGATGACTGCATGCTCAAACACATACAGTATGTAGACAGAACTTTGCTGATGTATTACTGATATTGTCTGTATTCTGCTAATTGAGCTGCATCATCAAAAACAGTGAAGTCTTAATGATGCACTGTACCGCTATCATTGTCAGCTATCAACTGCCTGGTTTGCCTAGAAAAGTATTCAATATTAAATAAATAGATAAATAATTATGAAATAAAAAATCATATGAATAAATTGTGTAAACTATATAAATGAACCAATACATTGTAAAATAATTGTTAATAATTATTAATAATTTAAAACTTAAGAACTCAACCAATGGGAAATGTTATTTTTTTGACTTTCAAAACACTACTGAGGTAACTGTGTAAAGACCACCTAGCTGCTCCCGTTAACAATGGAGCTACAATGTGGTAGCAGCTGTTCAGCTTGCTTGCTAAAGAGAAGCAAGTGATTGGCTGGAGAGGTGATCAGGAAATTTGATATTATTAAGTTAAATGTGACATGAAATCAGTGTACCAGTGTCCTTAGGGGAAATGCTATTAAATAAAAACATTGAATAAACTCCAATAAAACCGTTGCTATGAAAATAATGACATTTCTTAATACTGAGTTGTGTTCATAGCTATCTCACAAATTATTGGTTAATTTATTAGTTTTACACAATTTACTCGTGATTATTTTTATAATTATCTTTTTTTATATATAATACAACAATCCATACAAAATAGGATACAGAAATACAATCTCATTTCCTCTCTTGCAAACACACAGGCACACTGTTCCTCCACAAACACTCTACATGCTCACAGACATTTCTGTATTATGTAATTATGTACAGCCACGCACTCACCCTCGGCTTGCACATAAACATACTGCTCATTCTCCACATGCGTCTTGTTTGATAGGCAGACATGCTTTTCTTTGACCTCAGTGAAAAGCAATTCTATCAAACCCTGTCACGTGGCTACAGCTACAGACGGCAGCTGTAACACTTCAAGTAGATTTCAGGCTTATTCTGCTCTTTGTGCTGTAGATTAATCCTTGCTGTAGTGCCTCCTTTATGTATTCCCATTTGTCCATTCACCTGTCAGTCATTAATGTCCGATATCAATGCTGTAAGCTACAGTTTTTTACACTTGAATACTTTGTGTAATAGGTGCTGATTATTTTCTGTTTTCTACTTCAGTGCGCTAAGCTTATACTTTTATTTTTTTCTGATGTTGTCTCTTCCTCCACATGTTTCCTGACTCCTTATTTTCTCTTTTCATCTTTATTTCTTCATCTGTCTCTATCTCTCTGGGCATCTCTGTCCTCTGCTGGGGTTTGTGTGAACCTCAGATGCCTTTGCAACACCTGCTCCCGCCACTGAGGCCTCTGCAGCCGCAGCTGAAGGTGGTGCTGCCGCTACGTCCACCCCAGCCAACACTGGAGCTGGTGGGTGACCGGAAGTCTGTCTGTGTGTGCTTGTGTCTGTGTGAGTGAGTTTGAGTCAGTGGTGAAAAGTAGTAAGTATTTTTACTGGTTTGAGGGCCACTACCGTGAATGATGTTTAATAACTTACAGGCCTGTGTGCGTTGTTGGTCTCGAGTTTTAATCAGGGTTTCATCTCAAGGCTTTGTACAGAGGCAGTAGGCGTACAGATTTGCTATTCATTACTGGTGGTGTCTGGACAGTACTATTGTTGTTACCATGGCGATCAAAGACAATAGTCTTACTTATTTTGTATCTTTTGGCTTCAGAAGCTTTGTGCATTTTCTGTTATGTAGAAGGATGCCTGTGGCAGTTGTCTGGTTTTAGTTGTGGTTTGTTGATCAGGTTTATACACTGAAGGTGTTAAATATTAGTTTAATTTGATATTTTAGCTGTTTCTGGTTCAACTGACACCAGGAGTGTGCTGGAGATCTGCTCTCTCCTATCATTCCTCTCAGATTCTTTCTCCTCAGCTTTCATGTTTATCCCAGTATTTCCATCATCATCATCACATTAAATATATGTATCTATTCTGTTTTGCATCAAAATCTAGTCTAACTCTCTATGTGTTACATTTCTACCTCCCCCCCCACCTCCCACCCTACTTCTTCCCCCAAAGATCCCTTTGCTTCCCCGGAAGGTAGCACCAACGCAGCAGTTTCTCCAGGTCTAGACCTTTTCGGCATGATGACAGTGGAGAATAATAACCCGGGTAGTTCGTTGGATGCCTGTTTTAGCTCCGTGGTGCCCCAGCCTTCCCCCTCCCCTTCCCCGTCACCGCTCTTCACCTCCGCTTCCAGCACCATCACCACAACTGCAACCATTTCAGCTCCCATAGCTCCGAGCACCGCCAACCCTGCAACTGACCTTTTCAGCGGTAAACGTTAGAGATGTGTGTGGTTCGGTATTCATCTCATGTCTTGTGCTCTTATTCATATTGATTAGCATCCGCCTGAATTTCCTGTCTGATGCTGCCTGCCATCCGCTCGTCTCTTTTATTCTTCTTCATTGGTTTCGTCAGACTAATGTGCACATGTTGATGGGATTTTTCAGTTTAACTTGAGCATCCTCACCAGTTTTCAAGTGTTTGAGCATTTTAATATTGCTTTCTATGGGTGTTCGTAGATCTCTTTGATTCCATGCCAGACACAAGCTTCCCCAATGCAGACCCCGCTCCCAGTGCTGACTTGTTTACAGCAGGTACCCTATTGCACCTACTATGCCTCTCTCTCTCATATCCTGTCTTGCCGTGCCTGTTCTTCAGCTTTGTCCTTGGCTTTGATCGGGGGGAAGAAAAAAAAGGAAATGAGATTGCTCTCTTATGGGTCAGCTAAAAGCTATCGAGCTCTCTGAAATGTTTACTAAATCACTCTAAGCTCCTTTCCCATTCCAGCATGTACTGCGTGCGCTGCAATAGCAATTGATAAATGTGCATTATAATGAATCACAGTCAATAGTTTGTGTGCATTTGTGTGTGAGTGTGTTTGGGCTCTAAACACCATCTCCACATTGCCCTCCCCAGCAGATGTGTTCAGCTCCCCTGCCCCCGTCCTCTCTTCTGCACCCCCACCCAAAATTGACACGGGAGCCATCATGAACCTGTTTGGTGGTGGGTAACAGACAAGACTGCCTGCCCTGACTCTGCCTCCCCTGTTCATGAATGCATCATCAGAGAAGAGGGGTAGAATCTGGGAAACATGAAATGAAAAAACAAATAGTAATATTAGGCTTTAACAGTCCTATCTACTAGGTAGTTATGTTGTTGCATATTGTACTTTTCCTATGTATTTATAGTTTAATTATTTTGTGTTGTCAGCACTCACAGACATCTTAAACAACGTTGTTTCTTTGTTGGTCAGTCATGGAAGTATTACAAGCAGATACCTGAGATGAAGCTTGGTCATGTTGAAACAGCTGAATAATTTATGAACAGCAAGCTATGAATTTTGTGGGCTTTTTACTTTCCTCTTTTTTTGCTGGCCTTAGTGTCTGTATTCAAAGTTGCCACAGCATCATTAGAACAAATAACCTTCCTGGTATGTGTCAAGTGGGAAAGAAGGACTGTGAACACAGATATTACACTGAATATGCATGTGTGAGTGTGTTTTAAATTCTAAAAGCAATGTTTCCTGGTTTATTTGAATATATATGTAATTGTGTATTCACACTTTCAGCCTTCCTGTCTAACTTTAGCACTTTGTTTGGCATTACCAGCGTGAAGCCGAAGGCTGACTATTACCCCTTCTTTGCCCTTATGCTGCGATGGGAATGGCTCAACCTACCTTGACCTGGCGTGGTACGGTTTGGTATATTTTTATGGGTTGACCTGCCAGAGTCCACAGGAGGAGACGCCACAGCTGCCACTCCTGCCGCCCCTGGTGCTGAGCTCATGTCAGGTAAAACTCCTAAAATGTCCTTCTGCATGCGTAGTGTGTACAGTGGAGGGAATACAAACATTTCACATTAATATTTCCATTTTAGTGAAACACACTGTGCTGCAGCCATGGATGGATTACTCAACGGGCTTACTGGGCTCAGGCCAAGGGGGTCAGGTCGCCCCCGGTTATGAAATGAAAAGTCGGAAAGTTCTCAGAGCTCAGTTAAAGTCTTTTAGTGTCTGTAAAGCAAATCCAACATTCAACTCCAATATTTTTGCTCAATGTTCCCTTCATATTCATATTATATTATATAAGATTTCATTAAAACACAGTCACATTAGAAAAGCTAACTGAGTTTGGTAGCAGAACTGCTCTGCTTTAAGAAGACATGCTTTATCTGTGCTCAGAGGCCTATTGCCTCATACTCCATCCATGACTGCAACTATCGTTAATTCATTAGTAACTGCATGCTCCTTCTTTCAGTTGTTTACAACAGTGTTTGCCTGGCAAAGTGTTTGTTTTATCCGTAGTTATATTGGTCACTGTTTCTATTAACTTTGGTAATGGTTAATGAAATAGCTTGCTGTTAGCTTATCAACAGTTTTTATTGTTTTGCTCATTATCACACTGAATACTGAATAATTATCATACAGTCATAAACTTTGGTGTGATTCTTGGACTGCTTGTCTTTGGTTAAGTGTCAAGTCCCCGTTAAGTCCTCTGGATTCAGAATATGTCCATATATGGTCACGTTAACGTCATCATTGCATCACCTCATTTGCATAGCACTTATTAGTCTTTGGGGAATTCCTCAAATCTCCCTCAACCTTTCACGAGCTGTACAACTGGTAACCGTGGTGACTGTTACCGTGGCAACGTGGGCCCTGCTCACCTGGTTCCTAGTCATCTCCTGTCCCGTGCCATTGGTCTTCGTGTTGTATAACTGATGGTCTGCAATACTACTGCTTTGAGGCTTAACTCTTTCTTTCCCCTCTCTTTCTATCATTCATGCAATAAACTCTAATGGTTTCATTGTCACCCGCTCCTTTAAAACCTCATTGCATTTTCTCTCTCTCTGGCATCTGTGCTTTTTTTGCTTTCTCTCTCTTTCTCTTTTCCTCACTCACTCTCTCCATCTGGCTCTTGGGCTGGCTCATTGCTTGCTTCCCGCCATTTGATTGGGTGAGTTTTCTGCTCTTTAACACGCTAATTTCCCACAGTGCACTGCTGCATTGCAGTGGTGCAAGCCAAGCTCAGCTGCACTGTCCCTTCCACCACCAGATGCTTGATGGTCACAAAGAGTGTGTAAAGTAGCAGTATTATTTAGGGCTTCTTTTGTAATTAACCCCACTTCATCTAGCTGCAGTGCTTTTGCCCTCATCGCAGTTTCTGCTACAATGACACACACACAGTAAAAACATCAAAATTTACCAACAAGCACAGAAAACATATTCTTGACGCTGTGCATGTTGTTATGATGGTAAGACACCGCAATCTGTCACATATATGGTCACAAAACCTTAAGTTTATTTATCCCATATACATATTTTTTAAAGTTGGATTAGTTCTTATTTCTTATGCCCATACATGCAAACTACCACATTAGTAAGCAGCTGACCTGAGAGATGTCTCCTGTAGCAGATATGACTATATTAGACACACTACAAATATATTTTACACACAGTCTGCAATAAGTGATAAACTATTTATCATATCATGATCTTAATACACTGAAATTGGCTGTTTTACTAGATATTAACCTGCTCTCTAGCTCACATTCCAATGCTCCTCTCTTCTCTCTGTTGTCATGGAGACATCTATTGGTTGTCATGGTAATCCCAGTAGTAAGGAGGACTGCTACTGAGTTCTGCTAGAGTGTGAGCATTGCTTGCATTGAAGGATGCTGATGCCTCCCTCCGTCTCCCTCCTTGTCTCCCCTCCTCCCCTCCCTCCCTTCTGTAGTATTTGATGGCCTAGGGGATGTAATGAAGCCCACTGTGACCCCTCAGGCGGGTGATGTTGACACCTCAATGGCTAACATGGCAAGTAGTAAGTAGTCATTTTAGATTAACTAAAGTAATAGATGTCAAAGGTATTGATTTAAAGGAATAGTTCATTATTTGGGGAAGTACATTTATTCACGTTCTGTCCAGCTGTAACAGAATCTGCCTACCTCTAAAGCTCAATAATTAATAGAAATATTGTTTGTTTAATCCGTACAATAACCAAAGTAACAACCAATTAACCAAAATGTTGGCAAATAACCCTTTGTTTTTATACAGAGTAAACAAACAAGATATAATGTGGTGTTAAATAGTGAGCTTTAGAGGGGCTGGTTGGCGGATTTTCCCACTGTTGGATGCATGTGGTTAAATAAGCGTATTTCCCTAATTCTATTCCTTAAAGTATGGGGCTATGGAGATAGGAGGCGATTAGCTTAGTTTGTCAAGACATAGCTGCTGCACTTAACTCCATCATAAACTTCAAATTGGTGTTTATACATTTTTACTTTTACACGGTAAAAACAGGATACAGCATGTTAATTAGGGACCTTTTTTGAGGTGCTGGTAGGCATATTTCTGACCTACTGAGAGAGCCCTCAGACTGTTTTCTAGTCTTTATACTAAGCTTAGCTAATCGCTTCCTGGCTCTAGTTGCCATACTTTTATTAAAACAAATCTGAGAGTGGTATCAAGGTTATGTTTTAATTCACCTTCTTCTTTTATCCTGTTCTGTCGTAATACTGCTTGTAAATGAAAACAGTGATTTTGCAGCACCTCTCTCTCTTTCTCTTTGTTTCTGTCTCAGATCTCTCAATGGGAACCTCAGCGGCTCCTCAGGTAGCTCCCCCCTGTTGGGGTGCTCCCATGGTAAATGTTGTCTGTGTCTTATAGCATGGAGTGGAGCCGCATGGCAGCGACAGACAGGGCATAGCAGCAATCACACGCTTTGCCTTCATCTGGCTCTCCAGGTTCCAGGTCCAATCATAGACCTAGGAAACTGAGAGGCGTGGCAGTGAAGAGAGGAAAAAAAGGCTTATAGCAATCTATAAGTTACTGGTGGATTTTATTTAAATCACATCTCAGAGAACCTCTAACAGAGCACATGCACTGGTAGCAAATGTTTAGAAAATGGTCCAAAGTGAGGGAAATTTTGGCAGATTTCAACAGGCAGTCTGGTTCAAAATAATTATTATTTCTGGAATATCTACTGGAGACTGATGAAGTGGCAAATGATAGTGCCAAATCAAGAAGCTGTTGCTTAGAAACAGCTTCTTCTTCTCTTAAGTTTGTATATTCTTTTAAGTCGAGTCCAGGCATGCCACCTGGTTCTCCCCCTCATAGCTGAACTCGCCCCTTCATTGGCACATTTGCTTCTTATGGATATGTCAGTTATCTTTTTGGCAACCACAGATATGACACTCATCTGAAGGCTACCTGCAAAAAGCTGCTTGTGCATGTGTAAATCAATCATGAACTATTATTAGCTATCACGTTAAGTCAGGGCTTCTGTTGTGTCGTGGTATTTTCTCCATTTGTCGTGTGCCACCTTTTATTGTTCAGCATTGGTTTGTCTTTAACGTAATTTTTGTGTGTTGCTAGAAATCTTTTACGTTTCCTATGATTTAAAACAAATTGTGTTTGTGCATTGTTTCACTGTGTGTGTGTGTGTGTGTCTGTCATATATGTAGTGTAGTAACATCCCAACTCCTCCTCTCCCTCCCCTCCGCACCTTTAGACCGCACCCATGGGTGCCCCTCCTTTTATGGGGACTTACCCCAGCTACAGCATGGTAAGACCACCAGTCCAGTACGGTCTAGTAATGTTCCTGAACCAGTCTGGACATTACTGGACATTGATGGACAATGAGCCCTTTAGGTGTCCCTCACACCCATCAGATGGCCGACATTGTGTCTCACTGTCTTTTTTTCCTTCCACCCGTCTGTCTGTATAAGCCTGGGGCACCAGGAGCTCCCATGATGCCCATGGTGAGGCCAGGCTTCGCTGCCACGGGAGCGACCCCCGGAGCACCGGTAACACGCTCATTAAAACTTCATACTTGAAGGTTGCAGCTGCTCTGACAAAATGGGTTTTAAGTGCTAAAAGTACATGTGTCTGCAGATGTCTCCTGGAGTGGCCCAGAGCCCCAGAAAGCCTCCACCACCAAGGAACGCTCTGGATGACCTCAACATTAAGGACTTCATGTAGACTGACTGACCTGTAAACCCCCAAGGTATATAGACATAAAAAACAGAGAGCTGCAATCTAACTTTCAGAGCTGTAATGTATTCTTTTCACTTGTCATCGCAAAGGTTATGGAACAAAATCCTCCATTAGTCACATGTGAGCCATGTGTAATCCTGCAGTCTTGGCTAGCTAACAGGATTAATGCGCCCTGAATGTGAAGTTCCCGACCTTGGGGTCCCGAGAAAAATCTGAGGTGTCACAAGATGATTAAAGCGAGTGACATGTCTCGTTGCTCATGAAATACTGAATACTTTAATATATAAAATACTACAAATCACACAATCTGAGAAGGAAGAACTACTTTGTAGTTGAACTGCTCATAACCCATGTCCACTCTAAAGACACAAGACAAGATTCCACCAATTTACTCGTCATAAGGAGTTAGTACTCAACAGGGAAACAATTGTATAATGTTCTTCTGTGGCTCTGGAAGGAGCTTTGACAAATCTGAGAGAATAACATCTCAGGGTTATCTCGGCTTGGCCTTGGTGATTACAAATTTATACCGGGAAGCCTGTATTACAAACTGGAGGTGTGGACTTTGAAAGACGTGAATTTACCAGACTACGAGAGTCTAGTGAAAAGATGTAACTGTATCTCCTGCTTGACCCACATTTCTTACTAAAGGTCATGATTTGAAGACCCTCAGTTTAATGGAAGTGCAACAATACATTGTTGGAGAGCCCCTTTAAGAGATCACAATCCACAAAAGTTGGGAACCACCAGTGTAATTAATGTAAAGGACAGTTTTGAACAGCTGAGAGACATAGACACAGAGATTTGAATGAATGTTTTTGAATCTCCATCTCTGTTTGTCTTATTAAAGTATATATATTTAGACTTCACCTACTTTCTATTGAAAGTACTTGTTTTAATCAGATTTCATTTTCTCTCCCTCCTCTGAAGGTTTGTCATTGTGTCTGGAGCTCTGTGGATGTGGATGTCTGCACTTCCCCACTGCCTTCCCCTCCATCATGCCCCAGCCCCTTCAACCAGCCAGCCATTACATCTTCTATCTTTGCCCTCTGACCTCCTACCAGCCGCGACCCCCCCCCCTAAAAGAAACCTGCCCTCCTTATCTAATGTTGTAGCACAACTGTGAATGTGAACCCTAGATACAGAAAAACAAAATTCTGTTTATGTGTGTGTGGGTGTGCGTGTAATTCAGTGTTAACCTTTACTTAATATACTATGAAAAAATGAACAAAAAAAATAATAAATGTGTATTTAGATTCATTCTGGATTTCCGCGTATCAGCTGACTTGGAATGGTGGATATATGTTGGTTTTTTTGCGCATCTCCCAGACGAGGACTGTGTTGTTAAATGTGGACTGTGTTCGGTGTGTGTAACTTCACTGGCCAACCCCCACTCCCACTCCTCTAACCATGTTGTCCAAACTAATACTGAGCTATGTTTATGTCATTAAAAACTTGGTTGTACCAATATCTGCTTGGCCATCCATCCTCCTACCTGTCTACTTCAAGTTTTTTGGAGAACAATTCTTGAAAATGTACCTGGGAACAACTTGCACTGAGAATCTGGACTTATCATGGAACACATTAAACCGTGTTCAGTTTTATTTTTACTTTATCTTCTTTTCTTTTTTTAGGGATCGTATGAAACATGCAAAAATTTGTGAACTGTGTTCAAATTGACATATGCATTTTAGACTATTTTAAATGATAGATTATACATATTTTCTTTAATCTTTATTTTAAGAGAAAAAAAATGTATCATATATTTTTAGTTATGTCAAATTATATGGTTGGAAAAAAAGGCAAGTAGACTTAAAAAAAATTCCCGCCTTCTTTGTACATACATCTCAATCTGTAATCAGAGGCAGTATTGAATGGAAACTTTGCCCTGAGTGTTTACTGTTGCGCCCTCTGCTGGTGTGGAGTGATACTGCATCGTAGCATGCAACACAGGTCAATCTGGGATCAGAGAGCTCCTTTCCTTGTCTCAGTCTCTACACAAGATGACTTAATATTAGGCTGGAAATCCAAGAGACAAGGAAGCATTTGTGTATGTGATTGGAATGTGGCCTCAGTCCTCTTTGGGTCATTTGAGACGCAGCAGCAGTCAGTACATTCGTTCATGTACTGTCATTGGAAGTCTTGAGGACTCTCACTGTAAAGCACTCAAGTATACGCTGGATGTTCTGTGTGTTGTTTATTTCCAAAAGTGACTGTATCTTAATCCATTGTGGCATTAACAAAGTGTTGAAAGAAAAATAAAGATGAATATGACACATAAAAACAAAAAGAATGTGGATAAATAATGTTTGCTAAGTATTCATATGAAGGCTGTGTTGTTTTTTTTTTGTTGTTTTTTTTTTGGTT